AAAGGGAGGGGGTGGGATTTTCCTGCATTCCTTTGACCACCACAGCAGACAGTAGCATCAGAGGGTTGGTCTTGGAGAAGTCTCTTCAGTTAATGTGTTGCTTTTTTCTTTAATAGTCTGCATCAAAGAAGTGTTCGTGTATTGAAAATGCCTAAAGAAAAGTGCAGCAATAGATATTTAAAAAATCGGTGTGTGTTGGGTAATAGTGACTATTCAACAGACAATGTCTTCGTGTACTCTCAAGTTTGCGCAAAGGAAGTGAAATGTGAAAAGAAATTTCAACTTGAACAACACTCAAGAACGACTGCACATATTACAGCAAAGAAGGGGAAGAAGAAGAATAGCACACCACAACAACTGATTCTTACACAGGTCAAACCCAAGTCCTCTGTTAATACAATTTCAGCCGATACTTGTAAGGCTTTAGTATGCAGCAATATTCCATGGAATAAATTAAGCAATCCAATTCTGCGATCATTTCAGGAGAAATATTGTGTAATTAAAAAAATCCCAGATGAATCAACTCTTAGAAAAAATTGTGAAAGAGTTCGTACATATGAGGGGACCAGGTATGCTGCTATATAGGTTGATTCTTCAGCAGAGCAATTTTTTAGTTACATCTGCTATACTTGGCTACCTCTTACAGTTTAGACTTAGCTTCCAGCTGTTTACATCTTTGGAATGTTGAAGGAGTTGATGGGATGCTAGATGATGGGTCACAATTTTGAATTGGAGGGAGATTGTGTGATTATGTAGAGAAGGGATGTAAAAACTGTTGCAGCATGAATACAAGATATATAACAAAGATTTTCTTCAAATTTATTGATACTTTGTGTAATCTTATTTTTATGTGTTTGAGTATATAAAAGACAAATGCATATCCTATCAAAGCATGGTTCCTGCCAAGGAAAGATTTCTTCTGATTTGTGAAACTTTCATTATTTAACGCAGTATTACTAATATTTACTATAAAGTAATCATAATGATTTTGAGTGATCTTGGGATGATCAAGCATTATGTATAGAGCAAGAATTGATTTGTTACTTTTCAGTCTGAGCTGGAGATGCAGGTGTTTGAAAAACTCACAGCAATGCTGAAAGTGATGGAGAAGAAAACTGGAAAGGAGCTGGATAAAGATGTAAACAGAATCAATGAACTTATAAAAGTAAGTTAATAATTTTAAGGGTTCACATTCATGAATGAAGGCACATATGTTACCTTCATTTTCTTGAAACTGGATTTAGTAGTTAGGGAGCTTTCGTTGGTGTTGGGCTTTGAGCACCTAACACTGGTGTGTTGAGCAACAATTTATATTTTATTTCTAAAATCATGTAGTCAGGTTCATTCATTTATGAGAAAGTATAAACAATGTGGCAATGTGTTTGTACTTACTTTTTATTTATAATAGGAGTTAATTGGAAATCATATGAATTTGCAGTTTCTGCTTCCTCCCCCAGCTCAAGTCATATGATATGGCTGCTGTTGGGGCTTTCAGAAACATGTTAACCAAAATTATCTATCAGTTTTGTATGTTAAGTCTATGCTGATTCTTCTAGATCTTATGAACTTTTTTGAAAGATGATAGGAACAATATGGGTAGTACATGTAATATATAAGGGGCAGTCAAATGAAAACGGGTCACCATGCATAACTCACATTGTGCGCAAGTTGGTAACACTGGAATTTGCTTACGGTATGAACATCTGGTGGGGACTCAGGAAAGCACAGTGACAACATGCTCTTGCACACTAGTCGTTTGTTTATTGTGCTGGAAGTAAGGTTAGCGCTATGTGTGGTTGTCCAACATCAGTAATGGAGGCGGGTAAAGAAGAAGGGCGAAGTGTAGTGCACTTTTTGACTGCTGAAGGGGTAGGAGGACGAGAAATTCATTGTCGCATGTCTGTTATTTATGGCGAACACAGCATGTCACGTGCGCAAGTGCTGGCGTGCCATAAGAGATTCCGAGAGGGACATGTGTCACTGCAAGATGATGTTCACCCAGGAAAGGTTCATCGTGTCATCACTCTCAATGTTATTGCTGCGTTGGATGATCATATCTAGGCAAACCAATGGACCACTGTGGAAGAAATTAGTCTTTTGATGGGAATAAGTCATGGTTCCATACACGCCATTGTGACAAAACACCTGCTGTACTGTAAAATCTGCGCACAGTGGGTTCCACATCAACTCACAGAGGAACAGAAGACTCAGAGAATGGCTGCATCACTGGGCCACGTGCAACGATACCACAAGGAAGAGTATGTTTTTCTGTCCTGTATTGCCACTGGGGACAAAACTTGGTGCCACCATTTTGAACCCAAGAGCAAACGGCAGAGCCAACAGTGGAAACATGTTAATTTTCCCCCACCGAATAAATCCAAAGGCGTACACACAAGTTCCGGTAAAGTGATGATGACATTCATCTTCGACTGCAAGGGCCCTCTGCTTGTCGAATTTCTCGAGCATGGGGCCACAATCAGTGCACAGCGCTATGAAGACACTTTGCAGAAACTGAGACGTGCCATAAAGTCAAAACGCCCTGGCAATGCTATCGAATGGCATTATCCTTCTTCGTGATAATGCGCGCCCCCACACTGCCAACTCAGTGAGGAATACGCTACAGAGATTTGGTTGGGAAGTGCTTCAACATCCCCCCTACAGCCTAGATCTGTCCCCATGTGATTTTCACATTTTTGGAGACCTGAAGAGAGACATTCGTGGACATCAGTTTGCATTGGACAAAGACGTGTGTGGCTGGGTAAAGATGTGGTTCCGTAGGCAACCCACAAGCTTTTTCAAGGATGGGATTGACAGTCTTATCTCCCAATGGGATAAATGTATGAACAGTTTTGGAGATTACTTTTGAGGTAAGAAATGTTCTTTAATATGTTTTGGCTTCTGACTCATTTTCATTTGACTGCCCCTCATACATAGGAGATGTGAAAAATGCATACAACTTCTTAGCTGGAAAACTTGAAAGGAAGAAACCATTTAGAGGCCTAGGCATAGATGGCAGGGTAACATTTTAAAGAAATAGAGTATCAGTAGGATTTGAGTGGATTCAGATAGAATTAAGTGTTGGGCTCTTGTTAACACAATAATGAATCTCCATGTTTCATGAACGGTGGGAAATGTTCTGACCAGCTGAGTGTCTAGTTCTTAAGATCTCTGCTTCATGAAGTTAATTAAGGTGTTTCAAAATGTTCAGTCATTCTACAATTTGCATTTCATTGCCTCTCCCTCCCAAATGTCTCAGCTTATGGTCCTCGGCCCCTGTGGTATCTGACCCTGTCTGGTAATGGGAAAGCAACTTCCCATTTCTGGGGTGGGAGCACCTACAGAATGGGATTCTGTTTACTGATAATGTTAAGGTGATAATGAAATGGTGGCTAGCAGATTCGTTCTCATCTTAACTTGGATTTTGCACTGCTCTTAGTCATGTTTCTATTTGTCAAGATAGGTCATTCCACCACCTGACAGGGAGTGTAGGAATGCAGAGGGGACTGTCAGAGGTTTCCGTTCATCATGCCTTCTGTCATTTTTCTGTGCCATCCGTAACATTTCTTGAGTCATCTCTTTTGTTTTATTCACTGGACCCTTTGTTGTATTCTGAACACCTACCACCCTATCTCCACTTTCATTGTATCATTCTGGGTTGCCACATATGTTCTTTTTTATCACAACCATTTTTCTAGGTTCATATATTTCATACATTCCTAAATGCCTGTCTCACCAGCAGGAATGTTTCCTACCTCCATGGTACTATTCCATGGTTTTGATCTGATTTCAAACTTATATAGATATATCTGTGAGGAACCCAGAAACAAGGGTTGAATTCCTCTCATTGCTTTTACATTCAAATCTAGGAACGGAGTCTGGACAGTAGTTAAGTACGAGGTGTGTTCAAAAAATGACGGGAATTTCCGTATTTTGGAAAAAATATTTATTCATTCGTCTACATTAATGTTGTCGCCTTCAAAATAGTCCCCATTCGATATTATGCACTTACGCCAGCGCTTCTTCCAATCATCGAAACACTTCTCAAACTCGATTTTTGNACTTCTCTGATTGTGATTCGGCGATCATTCATAATCATTGCTTTCACTTTTTCCACGTTTTCATCGGTTGTTGATGTGCTGGGGCGTCCGGGGCGCTCGTCATCTGCAACGTCTTCACGGCCATCTTGGAAACGCTTATACCACTCGTAAACTCTTGTTTTACTCATAACAGACTCACCATAGGCCTTTGTTAACATTTCACACACTTTGTAACACTTTATTTCATTTTTTACGCAAAATTTGATACAAATTCTTTGATCCATTTCTTTTAACAAACGAAAATCGCCAAGCTCATAAAAACACGTCTAACCTTAGCGGCTGCCACAGACAAAGTAAGCAATGAATACAGCTGAAAATTTTATTGTACTTCAGGGGCATGTATACCAACAAAATAAAAAAAAAAATTTGACAATTGGACTCTCCAAACCCGCGAAATTTTAAAATTCCCGTTATTTCCTGAACACACCTCGTACACCCATAAAGCACTCCAGTCGGGGCCCAGACTGCATTGACACTCTTAACGCTTATGCAACTGTTGGGCTGGATGAGCTTTTCTGATGCACCATAAGAAAACCTTGAGCACTTAGCAAACTTGACTTTCAGAATTGTCTTAGGATTAAGTTGTCATACAATCATGCTGGAAATCATTCCAAAACCATGAAGCATTTTCATTTTGAAAATCTGAATTGTTTTACGAACAGTTTGGACGCGGTACTGATTGCAGGTCATTTGCTCGTAAACAGTAGAACTTCACCATGTGCATAGGAAAGATCCCTGCTTGTGAGAAATATACTGGACTTAAATACAGGGTGTTTCAAAAAGAGCTTTACAACTTTGAAAGCTTATATAAATTTATACAGAGGACATACACAACGTTTTGAACTGCCATAATGTAGCAAAACACCGAGTTTCATGCACGTGGTACTGTAGTACCCAGTACTGCCACCGTGAGCGCTCCCGCAGTTGAAATCAAGATGGCTACTTTCACAGATGCAGAGCATGCTCGTTGTGTGTTTTGGTTTGAAGAAACAAAGTCTGCTACACAAGTTCAAAGGAAATTTCGCACTCGGTATCACAAGGAATCTCCTAGCAGGCCTACAATTTACTCCTGGCACAAGAATTTTGATCAGACCAGATGTTCTGTGCTCCATGCCAAGCCACCTGGTCAGCCACGTGTTTCTGACGCTACAGTGGAACAGAATAGGGAGAGCTTCGTTCGAAGTCCACGAAAGTCAACGCAACGTGCATCTTGGGAAACTGGTATTCCAAATGTTACTGTGTGGCGAGTGTTATGAAAACGTTTACACTTAAAAGCCTCCAAACTATCCATCGTTCAACACCTTACGGCTGCAGATAAGATGGTTCATAAGGAATTCTATATGCAAATGTTTCATTGGATACAAGACGATGAGTTTCTGGACTCCGTGATTTTCAGTGATGAGAGCACATTTAATATCAGTGGTAAGGTCAATACCCACAACTGCAGGATCTGGGGCAGCAAAAATCCATGTGTCTCCCTGGAACATGTTCGTGATAGCCCAAAGGTGAACATGTTTTGCGCCCTCAACAAAGAAAGAGTGTACGGCCCCTTCTTCTTCGTGGAGGTGACCATTACCAGTATTGTATATCTGGACATGCTCCAAGAGTTCCTCATTCCACAGTTAGACGAAGATGACCAAGAAGGCTGCATTAGCTTCCAGCAAAATGGCGCACCCCCCCTCATTACCTTGGAGAAGTGCATGAGTACCTCAACAGAAGTTTCCCAGGTCGGTGAATTGGTAGAGCGGCGTCAATAGTATGGCCACCTCATTCCCCAGATCTTACTCCCCTGGATTTTTTTCTTGTGAGGATTCATTAAAGATTGAGTGTTCATACCACCTTTGCCTGCAAATATCGTTGAGCTCCGAACTCGAATTACTGCCTCAGTTGCAGAGATGCAACGTAGGATGTGGTTAAGAGACTGACTACAGGTGGGACGTCTGCCGCATTACCAGTGGAAGTCACATTGAACCATAGCTATCCGAGGTAAAACTCGGTGTGTTTTGCTACATTATGACAGTTCAAAACGTGTATGTCCTCTATATAAATTTATATAAGCTTTCAAAGTTGTAAAGCTCTTTTTGAAACTCCCTGTATTTTATTTTAATGGATATATGCAGACACGCTAGAAGTTCATGAAACAGACTACCCTAATCTGGTGATTTTACCTATGAGACAGTGTTTATAACTTTACCTTTTAACACAGCTTGAAACTTTGATATGTCAATAAAATTTTTGTTTTCCATATTGTGTAAACTTCACATAATGTCACATTGTAATTTAAAACTTCTGGCTATGGTATAAACTGTAGTAACAAATGCTGAACCAGTGTCCATAACTACAATATATGAATGGCAAAAATGTAAGAGACGAAATGTTACATTTGAAGTTTCTAGCCACAAGTCTGAATGTGTTATCAGTTTTAATAGGCTTCTCTTTTTGAAGAGTTCAAAAGAGGTTTTAAACCATTTTAAGAGGTTTTTCATGACATTATTACTACATTTTATAGGCACATAATTTTTTATCCAGTCATGTCCATAATACTTGGCTGTCTCTTTAGGTTGACATTCTAATTTTTTTTAGATTTTGTTGTTTTTGAGGCACATTACTAATTTGACCATTACAGATTTTATGTTGCTTTGAGCAGAGTTTTTAGGACTAGCAGTGAGGTACAGTATTCATGTCTACGCTACAAACCGGAAGGTCGTGGGTTCAAATCCCGATGAGGTCATTGGATTTTTTTCAGTTGACCTAATCCTTCCAGCTGCACTAGGCCCTGGGGTTTACTCAACCTCTAACAGAAATGAGTACCAGGAATTAATTAAATAATTTTCCTGGGGAGTAAAGCGCATCCGGCGCGTAACGCTGACAACCTTACTGCCATCTTTGAGCCAATTGTCTAGATAATGTGGGACCCTCAACGTCTCACAACCCTATGGGCCTTCACAGCCTGGTACAGGGATAGCTTTACTTTTACTTTTTTATTATGCTAAATGTGTGTGTTGTTTATAGTTCACTGTGAATGTGTTCAAAAAGTGTCTAATTTCATTGCTCCATTTCTTAATTTCTTCTTCACTTCTTGAGTATAACAGGGTCACATGAATTATTTTATACTGAGTATTTGATATTTTACTTGTCAAACATTGCATGTCATGCTCTTTTATTATATTAAGGCTTATACAGCATTGCGTGTATAGTGTGTATGATCCTTTACCAATCACAGTTGATTCGTTCTAGGGAAATATTCAGAGGAGCAAAGTAATCAAGGATCAAATGCAGGAAGCCAAGAGCCAAATTATGAAGATCTTTGATCATAAGAGTCAAGTGACAGACATTATCAGTCGTTGTGCAAACAAACGTTCGCTCAAGAAGCGTGAGAAATCGTAGTTTTTCTCTTGCCAGTGGTGTTATTTTAACTGTGAGACAGGCCACCAGTTGTATGTATATATAGAGTTAATTTTGAGCCTAGAAAACATAATTGACAGAAAAGAAGTACCTTTATTTAGTGCATATAATAATTTATAATAAATCATTTTTATTGGACTTAGAATTGCAACAAACTGTGGTATGTGGGAAACCACAGACTGGTAGTTATTTATGCACCTTGCACCCAGATATACAAACCCACACCACAAATTATAAACACAGAAATTTAAAATATACTCTGTACCATAGTCCTTTTAAGTATAATTACAATTTAAGCATAGATTTTACATTTATTTAATGTAAAAGCTATAAGATTTTGATTCTGACATTGAAATCTTATTAAAATATACNCGAAACGTCGGCCAAAACGAAGAATACACGGTGCCTAAACCCAGAAGACAACTTTCTTCATTGTCATCGCCGTGAAAACCTCAAAACTTACATAGATACTACATATTTAATATCCTGTCTGTGTTTGTTACACCTGTTCATTTATTTGTGGTTATTGTTATTTCTTTGCACATTAGATATAAATATTTATAGTTTGGCATATATTGTAAATACTGTGTGAGTACATGAATCTTTTTGTTTAAGGAGGTGAATTAATAGTCCAACAAATATTTGTGCTATATATCATGTTTTAACTAGAGTTATATGGCGAACAATAAAATTTGTGTTAGCCAGGGAAGCAACCAAGCAAAGAAGTACTATATTATGTAGAATCAAGACTGAGACCATAAAAATATATTTCATAGTGAAGAACATACAAATACATTTCTGTATTATGATGACTTGTTCAGGATATGGTAAAATAATTTCATTTTGACTATGGTTTCATTGTTGATCTGAGTTTGCAGGCATTGCAGTGTGGTAGGGGAGTGATTCCTATTGAATCCCTGGGAAGGAATAATTTGCTTAATTTAATTTTATATTTACACTCAAACCACCTCTGTGGCTTCATGTTCTTTGTATGTAATATATGACAATTCATTATTGCCAGACTGGGGGGTGGGCGCACTTTCTGCTTACATTTTATTGATTTTGTCTGCAAGGGAGATACCACCATCTGATCAGATTTATTGACCCTATTGTTCATGCTGTAGTCCATAATACTTCCATGTTTTCTTTTCTGATTCCCCCCTCCCGGTTGCAGTGCTTAAACCAAGTAACTACCATGGGCAGTGCTCAGGATGTGAACATCCCACATCTGTTTCCATTTTATACCTAGGCGCTGGTGTAATTGGCAAGTGACTTCCCATATTTTCAGTACAGCGAAACTGACTATAGACATTACAAGCCAAAGTTAAGGACAGTATTAACATAACTGTTTTTTCCATATTCACATAACTAACTCATCCTTTCTGTTTTCAGTTCTGTAATCACCTTGTCATACACTTGTAGATTTTGTTATGGTTTCACATGTGGCTCTCCTACCTGTCCAGTACATGCAATATTCGTAGGGGGTGTGTTTCCACGATTCCTTTCCAAGAAAGCTTCTGAAATGTATGTGTATATGTGACTTTTTGCTGGAAGGTCTTCAGAATGAATGAACAACTTTATGATGAATTTGATTTGTTTCATTCTGGTCCTTCATACTAACAATATTATAAAAGATAAAACAATTCCATCCAGTGTGACGGGTGAAGTTTTTCTTATTTCAATTCTTCATGCCCTTACATGTTTCGGTCCTTAGAGACCATCATCAGAGGGACATCGATACAGTTTGGAAACCACTATTACAAAGGGTGTTCTGAATGTTAAAATATTGTAACGTGTTTAGTTACTGAAGACGCTGTTCGGATTGTTAATTGGTTTATTTAACAACCTACCAGTCTCGGCTACAGTTAATTACAACACTGTTGCGGGGTTTCACACTTTATAACCCTATTCACAATCTGTTCACACTGTTCTCAGTAGTCTACATGTATTAGTTACAATATGGGAGCTATACAAGTGTCACTGTATCACACACACTCCCAATTATTACTCAGTTATCACAAACTATCACTGATTATCACATGCATCTTTTCACGACGGCTGCTATATTCCAACTCAACTCTAACGGTTCACTGCTGGCTAGATTCCAACTCAACTCGTTGGCTGCTGCCCTGAGAACTGTCTTCGGCGGCTGCTACACTGACAACTCGTTCACTGCTGCCTAACTGACTGCTGACTCACTTCCAACTGTCTTCAGCGGCTGTGTAGTTCCCTTATATAGTAGCAGTGTTTGCCTGTTACATAATGGGTACCACTGTTATTACCGTCATCTGTAGCAACCACTGTTTACCCGCTTTGCTTAGCAACCGCTGTTTACTCGCTTTGCATAGCGACCAGAGTGCTGGGACTCGGCTCACTTGGGCTCCGCTCAGCACGTCACGGCTGGCATTATATAGTAGCAGTGTTTGCCTGTTACATAATGGGTACCACTGTTATTACCGTCATCTGTAGCAACCACTGTTTACCCGCTTTGCTTAGCAACCACTGTTTACTCACTTTGCATAGCGACCAGACTGCTGGGACTCGGCTCACTTGGGCTCCGCTCAGCACGTTACGGCTGGCGTGGAGGGAGGGGCGCCATCCATAGCACAACACGTCACACTGCTCCCTCCTTAAGGCTGTTCGTCCAGAATAGCCTAACGGTGCACCCCCATTCCTTTTCTTCCAAGGATGTGCTTGGTGGGTCTCCTGTTGTTTCGGTTGCTCCTCGCAGCAACTATTATCCGGCTGAGAAAACCTTGAAATGCCTTACTTATAGTAGCCAACGTATGTCAGAAATTAAACCTGGAACCTCAAGATCACAGAACGGGAGTGCCATCCCCTTAGCTGTAGAATTCAGTAAACTTGACAGGTCATGGATATTTGAGAACATTGGGCTCAGAACAGTATTTGGGCTTGAGGAATAACAGGTGGCTGGAGAAAACTGCATAATGAAATGTTTCGTAACTTGCATTCATCACCCAATACTGTTAGCATAATTAAATCAAAGTGGATGAGATGGGTTAGATATAAAGCACCCCAAAGTAGAGATGAAAAATAAATGTGTACAGAATTGTAATCTGAGAGCCTGGCAAGAAATCACTTGGGCATTCTGGAGACAGTATTTCATAACATGCTGGTTTTTTGAGGTAGGTTATTAGCACCTCACCCATACCTCAAGTTGGAGGATCACCCATTGTCTTATATCTGTAACTGAACAAATATAAATGTACTGCATTCAGAGCTCCATGTGGTTAGGCTTCATGTTAGTGGATGAAAAAAATATCTGCACTTCTTCAAAGTCAAGATTTTGGTAACTTATATGGTATGCATAGCCCCTGTGGTCTAGTGGTCAGAGGTCCTGGGTTCGATTCCCGGCGCTACCAGATTTTCTGAGAAGTAGTGGGTCTGGAACAGGGTCCTCTCAGCCTTGTGAGGATAATTGAGGAACTACTTGAATGGAAAAGTAGCGGCTTCGGTTTAGAAAACCAAGATTAACTGCCGTGGGAATCCACCATTGTGCTGCCCACGACACCCTCTATCCACAAAAGTTGGCACTAACTTTGCCAACAAGTGGCGGTCGCTTGATCGGTATAGTTCACTTGCAGACTAAAAGCCACAGAGTTATTTTCTGCATGTGATATGCCTAAGATTTTGCATATGATAAGTGTAATCTGTGTGCATTGTCCACCCATGGTTCTCCTCATGTTTGTCAAGTTAAGCAGGTGGCCTTCGTTTAGATTATAATGTCAGTTTTCCTTTTTCTTTTCATTCATATGCTTGAATACATGCTTGGTTAGCTCTACTTTCATTTTAAATACTTGAGGAATATTGTTACATTGTCAGGAATTAGACATGGGGTTTGGACTGATAATTGGATTTACTGAACAGTTATAAATAATAACTACAGTACACACTAAATCTTCTCAGTTGTCTTCAGTAGTCATTGCTATGGAGTGGCTTTAACAATGGAGATACCTCTGTTTCTCTGCTCATTCTCACATCTGACTGACACTGTTGACTCCAGACTGCAACTCAACTGGCTTGTCCTGTTGGTCCTTTTTATATAGCATTGGAATGGACCACATAGAAAACACCACTTCCAAGAATTCCTTCATTACTGAGTGATTTGTTGATTGGACTGTTGCCTAGTGTTGGCACTGGCGTTATTGACGTGGGTGTGTGTTCTAGTTGTCGTGCAAACGTGTTTACCAGCCGTTTCCTAGCAATGGATACTCCTTCCTCGAGTGTTGGGTCTCACACTGCTGTCCTCCAACTACTCCCTCCTTAAGACTGCTCATGTTGAGTTACATGATCCCTTTGTGGGCGTGCCTCTCTTAGTGTGCTTCTTTATATGCCTGAAACCACCAAAGCATTTTGGACAACATTCATTCTAACCTGCCACCAAGTCAGCCTATCAGTTGCGAAAGAGGGTCCATTTCTAGCATGGAATCCATCATCCACAATGCAATCAAACCAATCCAATTAATCCCGCTTCTGATATCAATTGTCATGTCTGTTAGTGGCTAGCACAGGGTTTGGATTGATAATTAGATTTCACAAACACTTATAACTACAAATAACTCTAACAGTCTCCCTAATCTACACACACTTTAAATCACTGCTGTGAACACTAAGTATTCTTTGTCTTCACTAATAATAATTGCTTGATAAGAGAATCTAACAATGCAACTCAAGCCTCTAACTGCCAACTCTGACCTATGGCTTCACACACGAGGTGGCAGGGTAACATAAAAATGGATCTTATAGAAATAGGATGCAGTGGTATGGATTGAATTCATCTAATTCAGGATAGAGACAGGTAAAGAGCTCTTGTGATCAAATTCTTGTGGTAGCTGAGAGGCTGGTGGCATCCCAAGGACTCAGTTCAATGGAGTTAGTTGGTTATTAGGTAAGTATGCAAAATTTTAACATGTCTTTCCTTACACTTTGATTCAGTAATGGTATCATCTAATAGTGAATATTGAGTACAGTTTGATATGCTTGATTTATTGTTGTGAATTTATATGCATTGGACACAAACAGCATCATATTGGGAAACTGGAATAGCATTGTGGGAGATGAACCATATCAGAATATTGTTGGATCACATGGACTAAGAAGACGGAATCACAGGGGTCAAATGCTTATTGACTTTTGTGAACGAAATGGACTGATTGTCACCAACACTTGGTTCAAGAAGCCTAAGAGAAGAATTTACACATGGAAGGCACCTGGGGATTGGAGGAGGCATTAGCTGGACTACATCCTTGTGAAACATCGATTCAGAAACGGTGTGAAGGGTGTGAGGACGCTGCCTGGGGCAGATATTGACTCTGACCACAACTTACTGGTTGCCAAGTTCCGAACCAGGTTGAAGAAAATTATAAGATTTCAAAAGCGCAGACCTAGATGGGATTTGGAGAAGTTATATGCTCAAAGACAAAGCGTGCAGGAGACCCTAGAAGAGAAACTCGGTGCAATTGAAGGTGAAAGCGGAAATGCTGAAGTGCAGTGGAACAATATAAAAGAATGCATGTTAGATACTATCAGTGATTTGGTTGGTAAAGTTGAGAAGACAGCAAGAAAACCATGGGTTACACATCAGATGATGAGTAAAATGGAGAAATGTAAACAATGAAGAAGGCAGGAGGAAATACAGGAGACTGAGGAATTAATTGAAAAGAGCCACGGACAGGACCAAAAAGGAATATCTTGAGAAGATATGTAA